CAATTTGTTATGAAGTCATGTTGCGCTGCACCTTTGCTGATTAGATACTGGAGGAGGAGGTGGCCATTAAGATCCTGTCTGCACTAGTAATTAAATGAACATTCCTCAACAGAACTATTTCAGTCCTGATACCATGATGATGGCAGTGATAACCATCAGCATGGTGGCCCCTTTATGAAGAACACATGCTCCAAATGGGATTAGCTAACTCACTGAAAAGTGAAAATGCCAGCACATATTTGCATTCCTATTACTGCTGGAACCAGCTCAAAGCCTACTGACATTAGCAAGGGAAGGGACCATCTGAGAGACAACTTCAGACAAGCATCCCAATCCAGCTGTGCTTCCAGCAACTTCTTCCTGGCTCAAAACCAAGAAGGAATAATTTCAAACATCTTCCTGGTGCAGAAAGCATTTCACATTCTGCTTACTGGAATCAAACTGATCCTAGATGCTAGCAAAACAACATTTGGAAATTCAAAGTTTTATAAACAGTCCAATTTGAATTTCCAAATTGAAATTATTCAAAACCTGCCCAGAAACCTGCACAACAACATCCCTCTTGTGACATCCCTCCTCTTCTGAAAGAATAGTTAGGAAGATAAGAGAGTTCTGCCAAGGAATCCTGCTTCCATTTGTGGACATCCTCAGGATCTGAAAGAACCTGCAGTAAGCCTGATGCTAAAGGCCTCCACACAGGCATCTGTATCCTACACACTGTCTCTGAAGTGGTCAGCAGGGCCAAATAGATTCATATCATGTGAGTGTTTCACCATAAGTGGGAGAGAGATCAGGTCATTTAGGGAGCTTTGAAAGCTTTATAGTAACTTGGAGAAACATCTGTATGCTAAAACTGAAATAAGTGACAAAGAGTCAGTCTCTGGCTTCTAGGGTTTAATTACATGATTTAGACACCTTGGATATTTTCCGGAGACATGGTACAGGGGAAAAAAATGCATTTGGAAACTGAAGAATCAGCAGAGGAATCATTTATTTGGCAAGCTTTAGGAGAAAAAAAAGCTTGTCTGAAAATGAAGTCATATATGTTTCAGTATACAGGTCTGGGCTGGTGGGAATTTCCATCCTAAGGTGAACCAAGACCTTAAGGACCTATAGCCATCATATGTAAGGCTGTATATTTCCAACATATATAGTATCTTCTTATAGTATCCAGCATCTTCTCTACTCCCAGGATGGCACTTTTTAAATTTTCTTTAAGTGCTGTTGTGTGCATACATGGGCATACATGTGTATGGGAGCATGTCTGTGCATGTGAAACGTCTGAACAAAAATCTTTTTGACAAGCAAGCCCTGAGTAGCAGAATGCACAGGAGACTCTGGAGGCATGGAAAGTTGAAAACAGTGACTAGAAGTGCTTGGCTTCCAAAGCTGCTTCTTTTCTCAGAAGTGGTCTCAAGAACAACCTTCAAGTAGCACCTCCATGACAGGAGCATCAGCCTGCTCCATGGTGACTTTAAGAGGCAAGACAGCATCTTCTGTATGTAATATTGTGACAGTACGTCCATAAACTACATACTTGTAATCTTTTTTAAATACCACATTTATTAATAGTGCACTTAAAATAAAATACTATTCCTGGTGACAGAGGAATATTTCTTGAAAGCACAACACATGCTTTTGAGAATAAAGTACTAGTGTAGTTCTTCTCTTTGTTAAGATCTGTAAAAATCAAATGTAAGGAGGGTGACAACATGAAATGGCATTTTCTTACTCTGCAGATTTGCTGCTCACATGTCAGAGTATCGTGGCTGACATGAGTCATTAAGGAGTTTTTATCCTTTCTGGGGTCTGTTTACATAGCACAGTTGGCACCACTCAAGACAGAAAGCTAGTCTGCTGCTGTAGAACATCTACAAAATTATTTACAAAAGCCATGTCAGTTATACTTGTGCATACCCTCTTAAGTCCATGACATTACATGGTTGTCAAAGAGAGCAAACATGGAGAGGAGAGGGATGTCCAACCCAACTTAACAGGCAGAAGCTAAATGGTAAGGTTGCAAAGAGCTGGAAAACCGCTGAATTTGTGGAGTCAGTAGATGGAGAAAGTACATTAACTGTATTGCTGTAAGATGATACAAAACTTACTAACAAAATACAAATTTTCCTTTTTTTAATCAGCAAGATATAATAGTGTGTTGGTTTAAGCCCTGTCAGGACTGGAGACCACGTTGACGTTGTCCCTCCCCCACCCTTGGACACAAGCAGGGCACAAACCCCTGGTTAAAATAGGAAGAAATTTAATACAACAGTGTAATAAACAATCTGAACAACAACAGTAGCAATGATAACAACAATAAACAGTAAACAAGATATACGGAGAAATACCATAATGGTTACGGACAGCCCACCGTGTGCTTCCCGCCATCAAAGGCACAAAGGAAAAAGTTCCCTTGCTCCCGCGCCCTGACCTGACATCAGCATGGTATGAATAACCGGGCTGGAGATCCCTTCCCCCTCTCTGCTGGGGAAACTTAACCCTATCCTAGATGAACCAGGACAAATAGTAATATAATATTGAAGCAGGTTTAAGAAAAAACATAAGAGAAAATAATTACAAACTATAGGATGCTTATCAGTTTCCTCCTAAAGCTTAAATCAACTTTTATCTTCATAGAAATGAGACTTTAAATGTACAACTTTAAATGTGCTCTAAAAATACTTTGCATTCATCTGTAGGGACTTTACGAGAACCTTCCACACAGGCCATGCTGAGGGATAATGCATGGATACCAAGGAAAAGCAAGTTTTAGGGGGAGAAGACCTGGAGAGGGAAGCATTCCTGAAGCCAGAGGAAGAGCATGTATAAATCTCATAATAGCACAGGTATCCAGGGAAGGAGAGTGGACCACAAAACAATTCTATTTTAATAGAGGCACAGAGGGTAAAGGGTGAGAAACTATAACGATCTCATACATGATTCTCTGCATATGGCACGTGCAGTAGCAAAAGGGGGAAGGGGAAGACATCTGTACCTGGGCACAAAGAGGAATGTACACAGTGAATATGTACAGGCAGAAAGAAGACAATTCTCAATGGTCTGAGGGATCAGCTCTCTGTCAACCACATCTGCTGGCAGCCTATGCAAGCATGCTGGAGAACAAGAAGCTGTCTCCTTGGAGCCACCAGCTGCCTCTCCCCCTAAAAGCATTAACACTGTGTCATGGGTCAGCCTTCAAGTCAAATATATAGAAGGCGAAGACAGTAGCAGCCTTGGGCAAAAGAGAAGAGAGGAGACATCTCTCCCCCAACCCCCTTCAAAAACAGTCTCTATAACCCAAGCTGTTCTTGCCACAGCTAAGAGCTTGGAAGAGCTGAGAACCTCAGAACAAAGCAAGAAAACGTGCTTTTCTGCAGGGTTTCAGTGACTAAATTAGAGAGGATACAATCCTGCTTCATACAAGATCCAATACCCCAAAGTAATGGTATTTCCAAGTATCAAAACACATGGCCATACAAACAATTCCGTGCAGCTCAGTGCAAGCACAAGAAAGTTAAATAGGACAGAACTCAGGAGACAAGAAAAAATATTTAGTGGCTAGAGGGGCACCCATACATGTCAAGGAATTAAACACTGCACACATGTAATTTGTCTAAGAGGACATACATACATAAGGCAGTAAAGGAAAGGATGAAATTACATGCAGTTTTCTGAGGATTGCCAAAACATTAGCAAAATAAACTGAAGTGGTGCAAGGTGTTGAATTTAGAGAATTAACTTCTAGAGAAAAACTGATATTATTTTCAGCACAGAGATCAGGTATCATCAAAGAAAATAGATTATTAGATCATGGATTATCTCTTTCCTTCTCCCAAACAAACTTCATCATTGGAATTATTTCAAACTGGGAATGAAGAAACACCTCAAAATAGTCACTACATCTTGTGGCTTGGGGCAGGTGGATCTGATGTGACTAAACAAGAGGTGCACCCATGTTCAGTTTCCATGCTTCTGATTAGAACCTACATAACAAGGTAGAGGGGAGCCTCCCTTGTTCATTCCAGCTGAGGTGCAGATCTGTCTCTTCAACAGATGTGTCCGGTGGCAGCTACTCTTCCCAGTGTCCTGACCTTATTGTTTCTATTTGCCCTCTCACTCTCCTTCCTCATCTATCTGCCTGACTTGATATCACTGCTAACGAAGGGTGATCCTTGGGATATATGCTTCCCCATCTTTGCTCTTATTTCTAGAACTGGTAGGGAAGGCAGGTGATATTCACTCATCTTCCCAACTGAATGAGCATGGTAATGGCAAGAGAAGCTGCAGAGTAAGCGAAATCATCTCAGTGGATCCATTAAAGCCACATTTAAAATTACCCATCACAACAGCCCCTCCCACATTCACAGATTTATGTAGCACGAGTAGTAGTAACTTGCATCATCTCCTTGAAAAACAGATTAACATGGCTTTTCCCTGCCACAAGCACTCACACAGCCATCTGTCTCCCACCAGAGCATTAAACAACAAATAAGGCCACAAAGCCTTCCTTGTATCCCTTCACAAGGACCAGGAACCTACAACTGCACACACCTACCCCAGCCTTCCTGCTTCAGAGATTTCAAAGGTAGCGTTTAACTATGGCTCTTCGAGGAGCTAGAGAGAAACAACAGGCATAGGAGCAGACCAAACATACCGTGCATGTGTGGGAGATACCCGGTTTGGATAGTGGTTTCCGTGAGCAGGGCAACTGTGACCCGATTTCACGCAGCTTTTCTCTCCCTGTCTGCACACAGCACCTAGCAGAAGTGCACTCGGGGTAGGGTCTGTCTGGGCGCTCCGCGACACCAGGAAGGAAGAAAAACCCCACAACATGAGGAGTTTTAATCCCTTCCAGAAGTAGTACTCGTTTGTTCTGTGTCTTCCCGCCGCCCTGGCTGGCAGACACCGGACAATATGCTCGACCCTGGCTCCCTTTCTCAGATCTCCTATGCCGGGCTCAAAGCGCCCTTCCTCACCGGCCCGCTCTCCCGCCACAATACCTTTTGCAGGACTTCAGCAACACCTCCTTCACTTCCCAGCATTACTCAAACAGTTTTCGTGGGAGCCCTTCCCGCTAGAGACGACCGGCCCACCGGCATCAGAAAAGTTGGACGAAGACCATTTTCGCCGCCCAAGTTACGCAATCTCCACGAGCCAGCGCCAGGTCCCTCCTCGCTCTGCACACGCTGCCGCTTCGTCCCCCGGCCCCGATAGCAGCCCTTAGCCCTCGATTGATGCCTTCAACTAGTCAGATGCTTGCGAGCAGTCCTGATCCTTGCGCTTCTCTCCAGGCTTTCTCTGGGAACGCTTTTTCCCCTGCTCTCCTCTCCCCGAATCCCTTTCCTACAGGAGTCTCTCTCTTCCTCCCGTTTCCTAGGATCTGCCTTATCCCTTTCTCCTGGGTCCTCTCTCTCGCTTTCTTTCCCTCCTCGCCTTGCCCCTCCCCCTCCTCCCTCCCCTCCCGACCAGCTTTCCTTTGCAGAGGCCCAGCCGAGCGCGGCGGCAAATGGAGGGTGGAGGCGGCGGCAGCCACTCCCGTCCCTTTCGCGAGCGGTCGCCACCCTCTCTCCCACCCGCGCCGGCTCCCTCCCTCTCCGCCGCCTCTAGCTAGCACCCCCTCCGATGGCTGCCGCATGCCCGCCCTCCTCCCACCGCCTCTGCTCGGGGCGGGCAGGCGGGCGGCACTGGGTTTTGATCCTTGGTTGAAGTCTTGGCTGCTCAGGCTCCCTCCCGCTTCCCCCACCCCAGCGTCCTTCTGAGGGTGATATTCCGAGTGGGTCTTGCGTGTCCGCGGGCTCGGAGAGGCGGGCCTTGCTGCGGTCGGGCTTTCGGGGGGGATGCCTGAGTGGGCTGAAGGTGTGCGTGCCCCTGCGAGGTTCGTCCCAGAAGTTACCCAGAAGGAGTAACAGCATCAATTCCCGATCCTTGGTCAGTCCCTCTTGGCATTGTGGAAATCCATGTTGCTGTCTGGCATTGGCTGCAGTTCTGTGGTAACCTACCTTAAAGTTAGCACTTCAGTGCTGACTTGCGCTCCACTTCCAAATGCTCGAGGTCAGATGTGTGCCCAGGTGGCCAAGAAGGCCAATGGCATCCTGGCCTGTATCAGCAATAGCGTGGCCAGCAGGGACAGAGAAGGGATCTCACCCCTGTACTCTGCACTGGTGAGGCCGCACCTCAATGAGTGGCTTCAGTTTTGAGCCCCTCACTACAAAAAGGCCATTGAATGACTCAAGCGTGTCCAGAGAAGGGCAACGGAGCTGGTGCAGGGTCTGGAGCACAGGTCTGATGGGGAGCGGCTGAGGGAACTGGGGGGGTTTAGTCTGGAGAAGAGAAGGCTGAGGGGAGATCTCATCACCCTCTACAGCTCCCTGAAAGGAGGGTGCAGAGAGGGGGGATGAGTCTCTTGAGCCAAGGAACAAGCGATAGGACAAGAGGGAACAGCCTCAAGCTGTGCCAGGGCAGGGTCAGACTGGCTCTTAGGAAGTATTTCTTTGCAGAAGGGGTTGTTGGGTGTTGGAATGGGCTGCCCAGGGCAGGGGGGGAGTCCCTTCTGGATACCATTATTATGGCCCTGTTTTGTTTGTTGATGTGTTTGGTGAAGCAAAAAGGTATTTTCTCCCTAAGAAAGCCCAGCATAGAAAGAGGAAAAGCTTATAGAAAATTTATAAGAGATAAAAGAATCTAGGGAAGCTCAGAAATGTAAAAGAACTGAGGGGCAGCCCAAGATGGAATGTAAAAGACCAGACCTTGCAGCTTCACAGTCTCTGCACTGGTTCTTGCTAGACATTAGTATAGTGTCATGTGCTTTTTTTGTTTTTTAATCTTTATCACAATGAGATTTTCTACAATGAGTTTCAGTTCTCCCTCGAAATAAGCAGTGTTTCTCCTTACAGAGCAGACTTGTTCTCTGCTTTGTTCCTTCTCAGCCATCACTCACTTCTGCTTAGAGCACTGTTTCCTGAGCTTTAATGGAAATAAATCTAAACCAGAGAGGGGAAGAACCCCAACCTACATTAGCTGAATGTGTACTCACCTGTATTTTTAATGACTATTGTTCTTAACTATGTGTATCAGTTGTTATGAAAATGCCCTTCCTTAACTATTATATCAGCCATTCTTTATAGTAATGATGGTGTATTAACCTTTTAATATATATATATATATTAGTTCACATGGTATGCTCTATTGTCATGAGGTAGTGAAATTTTACTGAAGATGTTAGTATTGTTTCTTCTTAAGTAAAAGAAACTAAAGGACAGCCTGGTCTTGAGAATAAAGACTTTGCTTCTTGAAAGCTTGCTTTGTCCATGAAGGATAAAGGATACCCCTGGACAACCAAGATAATGCCAGCATCCTAGCTCATGGCTTTGAAACCCCAGCATCCTAGCCCATGTTTCTGAAATCCTTTCAGCATCACCTGGCATCATAGATAAGTAGCTATAGCACGACTGTCTCTAGGGACGTCTGGATCAATAGACAAGCAGCATCAATGCTGCAAAAATATTATTGCTTTGAAGTGTTTTATTATGATTAGTAATCAGTGAGTGATTAGTCAAATCATGTAGTACTTGAATATTTGAAGGGTATAAGAATTGTGTGTAAAGCCATATACAGGTTGCCTCAATTTGACCGAGACTCCTCATGCACATGAATTAATATTTACTCCTGTAATTATATACTTTGCATATTAACCTCTCTCCTCATTTGGCATGGGACAGTTGCAAATTTTTATGATAGTCTCAAAAACAAAGCAGCTGCTAGACTTGTGCCAGTTCACTGGAGCTACAATCTAAATGTCTGCTTATCTATCTGTTTTCTAGCAGTTTGCCTATACGATCCAAGCATTCTGACACATTCATCACACAGATTGGGTACTAGTGTTTGTAAAGCCCAGAAGGAAATCCAGTCATTTATACTGTAGACCAGGATTTGGGAAACATTTAAAAGGAGAAATAGCTGCCTGGGAATCCATGTCTGGTTTTACAATAAGCCTAGTTCCATGTTGGGACTGGGCACTTCGGGTATATGTAGTTAATTCTGTGTAGACCTGCAATCCAGCTGGGTAAATTCAATACTTGCTGCTAGATTTTACCTGAATGCCCAGGCCTAGTAAATTAATTTGAAGCTTACCAGGATATGAGACACTACAGGGTTTTTGAAGCTGTCAAAGGGGGAAGAAATAAATTCATGATCCCTACAGCCATGGCTCAGGAACAGAAATGTGCAGCCATAAGTGAGAGATGTATATTTATCTTGCACATGTTGTTGCTAAAGTCGTATGAACTCCATGAAAACTATGCAGGTATAGGTATATCTCTTATAAAGGTGTATATATCTCTTGCAATCTTCTCTGTATTCTATCAAGCACCTTAGACTAGCCTATTCCATCTGCTGATCTGTGTTGATTCATGTTCCAGGCTTCACTCATTTCCTTTGGACGTGTGCTGTGACCCCTGTTCTTGATCAAGCATGAGATTTCAGATTTCTGCTGGATTTGTGAAAGGTTTCTAAAATCTGCTGGATTTGAGAACAAGAGGAACTGTAAACTCTTGTTGGAATAGCATGGACAAAGTACCACTGTACTTTTTTCAGTATTGTCTGTTTGAATTGGTAGGAAGAGTAGCTCAAATATACTGCAATTATTCCAGTGTTTTGTTGCTTAGTAAGAGTGGAAGTATTCAATACTTAGAGCAGATCTGTGCTAGATTCAGGTCACTGTTGCTTAACTGAAGAATGACTCCAGAAAGCTGCATAAGATCTCATAAAGCTCTGCTTTCTGTTGTATGCTTATGTTCAAGTGGAAAAACAGTACCAAATTGCATAGATGAGAAGGGAAGTTACATTTACTATGTGCCCTGGGATTTAAGCAAAATTGCCCTGATAAAAATATCCCATAACATACAACTTATTCTTGGAAGCTCCGTAGAAAAATAAGGACAGTAAATTACTGGAGTTGAAGGGCAGAGTGGTGAAGGTTAAACACTCTCAAGAAGCTGAAAGGAAATGGAGCTGAGGTTTCTGTAAGAGATTGTAAAGTACCAACGGACTTTCTCTTTGGCTCCCAAACTGGGAAGCTTGCGCCACCCTGCGTCAAAGTACAGGATCTCTGAGCCTGCTCAAGGTTACAATAAGGGGTTATATAAATAACTGTAGTTTCAGTTTAGCTCTTGGCTGAAAAATGAGTAGGAAAGGAGCACTACAAATTTAAATTGGATTGGAATAAAATTATTTATTTTCTTTCTTGGAGAAAAAAAGAACGTGGGAAGTGTTAAAACAGTTAATTTTGTTAGCATGAATTACTCTGTTTACTCCATTTAACTTATTTCAGGATCTCTTCAGAGAAAAAAATGAATGGCTAGATACATAAAGCTGCTGGCAGAAGAAGTGTTTCATGAACAGAACAAGTCTGTAGCCTGGAAGTTCCAGGGTCCCAATCTGTAGCCTGTGTGCCAGTTTCTTTCCCAGGGAGTGCTTAATTACTTGTAAGACAGGAAACATCTCAGTGGGACACATGAATTTCTCCCTTCACTCATTCCATCTCCCCTACACAGACTGGCATACTCAGGAACCTGATGGTGAAAACATGTTTGTAGAAAACATGTTAAAATCACTGTAGCGCAAAATGGCAACTGCTTCTAAGGCTGTGGTCCCACAGACATTTGAACCCCACAAGAATACAAGCCTCTACTGAGATAGACATCCTTACTCCCTCTTTTCTCTGCCCTGAGCTGTACGTCCTCATCACCTTCCCATTTGTGCAGTGACCTAGATCAATGAACTGATGTGGCCGAAAAATAATTCAGCAAAAATTATATGTAAAACTTTGGAGTATGTGTGGGAGACTTTATGGAGCTGTATAAATGCTCAGCTAGAATATGGATGGGAAGGCAGAGGATGTGCAGCTTGGGGAGGAACAGGGAAAACTGATCCTTTTAGCAGCAACATAGTTGATGTTCATTTAAAGTCCCCAGAGTATGAGGCCTTTAATACTGAATATTCCATAATAGGGATGGGTTTTCACTACTCCTTGCTCTTGCCATCTGCAACTGAAACTGTTCTTTTCCCACCAAAAACAAAGAAAAAGAAATAAAAGAAAAAAACCAAACCAAACCAAACAAAAAAAACACCACCAAAGCAAATCCTTCAGAATCTACGCAGGAAACTAAAGATAAACTTGAAAATGTCTCCAGAAATTGTTGAAATGCCATTGTTCAGTAAATCTGCTAAGCACTGGGGGTATAGGGATAGGAAATCACCCAGGTTTAACCACAGTGTAATATGAAAAGAATAAAACTCCTACGTATTAGGCAGCACTTCTGCAGAAGGTGAATAGGCACCTTGAAGGTAACAGTAGCAATGAACTGCTTTTGTTTGTAATGTTGGGGAATGATCTGTTATAATCATCCCAGATTTCTTCCTGAACCA